AAAGAAAAACTTTCTACATTCTGTGAGTTCAGCTTCTTAAACGTGAACATTTTCTGTTTTCACTACTTTTTATCGACCAAACAACTGATCGGTTCATCAAGAAGCTCATCGAGAGATCAATCGGCAACCAAAAACAAAAAACACAAACCGCTGTCCGGCGTAAAATAAGTAAGAAGAAAAGTTCAAAGTGTATTTTTTAAAAACCGAAAGTATTTGTGGTGCCGCGACAATAAATCAAAACTGGTCTGCGTTCAGTCGCAAGAAAATTTACTGGAGAGACCGGATGCTGATGAAGATGTGTGTTACTGGTTCAAACGTTTTCGTTTCAATTTCTGCCTGAGCGGTGAGAGTGAACGATGTCATTCGGAGACAATAAAGCAAAATGAATCCCCATTTTATGGATTACCAGTGAGCGCCTCACACGTGAACAGATACGCTCTACGATGAAAATGTCTTTTAAAACCTGAACGTAAGCTTCGGTTTTTACTCACTTTCTACACATACGAGACACAATCTCCTTCTCTACTGTTACAGAAAGGCCTCTAATGGAAGAATAAAGGCGGTTTAGTGTTTTATCTCTGAGAACACGCATGCACACACTCCAGGAGATGCTTGGTTTGATCGCTGCAGGCCTGCGGCTGCAGATAACACTGAGACCAAAAAAAAGTCTCACGACTGCTGCTGTTTGCAGACGACGATTCCTTCGAGTTTATCTGCTGCTCAGTTCGTTTCAGTTCGACTCTGTGAGGCCCGGGTGCTGTTTTGCTCGACCCGTGGCGCCGCATCGGTCTGAGAGTTGTCAGGTTTGCCGCGTGGAAAGTCGTTGGAGGGGCAAAGTGTGTGATTTTCTGCTGTGTGTGTGTGTTTGTGTGCGATTGCGTGTGTGAACAGTGAAAGGTTGTGGGTCACGGTGGATTTCCTGTTGTTTGAGGTTGACAATCAGAACTGAAATAGCAAAAAAAAAAAAGACCACCAATGTTCTCTTGCTGCCTGTCCTGCACGCTGGCAGAAACACAACTTTTAATAAATACACCCTGAGGTTTAGCGTGCAGGGAAGAAGGACCCATATGCTGAGCTGTTAGACCAACATAAAGCAGCATAAACGTCAGTAGTCTTTGTAAACTGTGCCCTCCTCTCAAAAAAAAGACTCTAATCTAGGAAATAAAGGCAGCGTAGTGTTTTTCCTGTGTCATTATCTGAAAGCATGCACACACACCAGGAGTGTTTATTTCAACTGTAGGGCTGCAAAAAAAGACAGACATCATAATAGAATGTAATAAAATAGCTTTTCTTGTCACCAACTTATTTGTACAACAAAAATTCCCCAAAATAGGCCACACATGCACACATACATCTGTCCACATGAATAGTAATTTAAAAAAACAAACATCAAAAGCCAGTTGCACCATGGTAATATGGAGAATTAAAATATTACACATAACGTTCTTCAAGTTCTTATGAGATGTTTGCACGTAGTTAATAATCCTAATAATTTCTGCTGCGCCTTTCAAAACTGGGAGCATTAAAATAGGCAAAATACAAGACAAAAAAAGACAATAAATCATTCATAACAACAGCAGAGCCTTAAAAAAAAAGTTCTGCAAATGCTTCTCTGCATAGGTGGGCTTTTAAGGAGTTTTGAACTGAGCTGTTCTCACAGTCGGGGGGAGCGAATAGTGAAAGTAGGCGATCGTTTGTTTTCAGTCTGGACTGTGGGATGCTCAACAGTTTTCAGATCTGAGGGGAGAATAAAGTGTCAAAAGTTCAGAGATGAATCTAAAACGGAATTCTGTGACGGACGGTGAGACGCTGTAATTCTGCTTTGAGTTTGTAGGTAGTCTTACTGATGTTGCTGGATACAATTAGTCAGCTTCTGATCTTATAAAGCTGTCATTGAAATATTGTGAGGATGCAGAGGTGGCAGGCAGCAGGGTTTTTCTGCTCTATATGCATCTGGAGAATGTGACTGAAAGGCAACATGCTTTATTTCTAATGCTATGTTGCCACACATTTCACCTTTTTTTCAAAAAAATTGCTGCTCTTTGGGTTTAATTCCTGCAGAGTTATGAGTCTATGCAGGAACCAAGCATCTCTAAACATCTACATTAGCTGTTAATATATATTTATCTGCTCAGAAGTACATTTGAGATGTTGCTGCTCTATGGGGCTGCATGTAGGGGAAAAAAACTGACATTGAAAGGAAAATATTTAGTCATGTATAGTGGAAAAAATGCAGTATTTTCTCTATTCGGAAAAAATGTATCACTCCAGAATGATTGGAGTTATGTTACAGGGGAGTGCATCTGTATCAGAAATAAAAAATACAGTTTAAAAGCTGTTTTCCATGTGATGTAACACTGGCAAAGGAATCCAAATTTGCATATTCAGATCAAGTTTTTCACTCGTCCTACTGAGTCTTTTGCTGCTGATGCAAGCGGTGGAGCTAAATAGTGTCGACGTTATCCTTTATGTAGCTGGAATACGTCCATACGGCTGATTTTGTTTGCACATTTTTGCATGTCATCACACTCAGTGTCTTTTAAATAAAGTTAAAATAAACTCGGTGCATCCAAGAATCCTTAAATTAAGCTGCAAGACACACACATCTTGCAGGTTAGTTATGAAAAACGACTAACAGCAAACTTTACGCCGCCGGTTCAGTGATGAAATCTCCACCAGGTCTTCCTTCTTTAGCTCTCCTGTCCTGTCGTTTTGTTGTGCATATGTGCAGCCTGCAGGTCAGCAAACTCTGTGTCTTTTAAATGAGGTTAAAATAAACTCCAAGAGACCTTAAATTCTGCTGCAAGACAGACTTCTCTAGCTATGTTCAACCAAGTCCTCTGAGTGTGATTTCCAGTGTCGATAGCTGCGCCGATGAGATCTTCCAATCCTTATCGTGGTTCAATCTTGAGGTTAATCAGTCGCTGCCATTAGAATCAGCTGCTGTCTTATCAGCCGTGCGGTTATTCTCTTATGCTCACGTGTTTATTATCGCCTCAGACTGGCTGATCGTCCTCGGAACAAGCCTCCGGGTCGATCCCTGTGGCACGAAATAAAGAGGGCACACACTGACACACTAACACACACTTCGAGAGACAACCTGACACAGTTATGCACGGAAATACTACTGTTCACGAGCGCACCGTCGACGTGCGAGAGCTCGCCTTGCAGGACGGCAGTCGGTGCATTTGTGGAAGGAAGCCAGGAATAGGTGACAGAATGTGTTGTTGTGTGCGCTTCCTGGTTGCTGCAAAACAAACATGTGCGTTTGCGGCCTCTTGTTGGCTAATTTTTCCCAGAGAAGTCCGTTTTTTTAAAATGTTTTCGGTGCTTTAATAATGAAAGATTGCGACACAAATTCAGCCAAAGCCTGAGGTGTGTGAGAGTGTGCAGAGATCATGGGGGGGGGATGGTGAAGGGGGGGAGGCGAGAGGGGGATGGCCATTACTGGCAGTGATGGAAGAGAGAGAGAGCATTACTGGCAGCGTTGTCCTTTATGAGCGAGACAGAGAAGGATTCACAAAGAAAGAAGTGACATGAAAGAGGGACAGTCAGAGCGAAAGAGAAGCCAGGCAACCACTTGAAAGCACTCTGAGGTTGACACCTTCACGCTCGCCGCCTTTCTCCATCTGAAAATATTCCACGTCCTCAGAAGACTCTCTTCTTATTGTATTTGATCTTATCAGTCTTGATTGTTATTAAGGCAGCAGGAAAATACCTTTGGTTTGCTCTGGTCACACGACAGCTAACGGATGTCTGAGGGGGGGAAAGTACAGCACAAGAGTTCTCACAGTGGGAATTGCAAAAGTGTGCAGAATGCCACAAAAACAAGACAAAAGTTGGCATATTTGACTTCTGCAAGGAGGAGCTGTGCAGTAAAACGATTAGCTGTCAACTCTTCAATTTATCGTCAGCTGCTTTAAGAGCTGATGGAGCCGTTTTCTAACGAAATAAAGTCCAAGTTCTCAGGTTGCAGCTTCTTAAAAGTGAATGTTTTCTGTTTTTTTTCCTTCTTTGTGACAGTGAAGTTAATATCTTTGGGCTGTGGACAAAATTTAGTGCATTTTATGAAACCCTGATCAACATTTTCTGCTGTTTTCTGACATTTTACAGAACAAATAACCTCAAATCTAGTTGTAAAAACGTTATTTTTATGGTGATATTATCCTCACATGGTCTGTATTTTTAAAGCGAATCATATAACTGCTAACAACTTGGTGGTTGTTAACAACAAGTGAAATATTGTCATTTACAGTCTGGAGTGTTCATTTAATTGGGTTTAAAGAAGGCAAAGCAGGAGGAACAGGGCCTAAAAAACAATAATGATGATTGTTGCTTCAAAACACAACAATTATAATAATCTATTATTACTGCAAAGGCTGCAGTGATTTTAACCATTAAGTTATCTACAAGTGTTCAATTGATGTGAGTAAATTTGTGAGAAAAATAAGTCTAGAAGCTTCTTAAATGTGAATATTTTCTGCTTTCTTTCCTCCTCTGTGACAGTGAACTGAATATCTTTGGACAAAACAAGATATTTGTCATCTTTGAGAAACATTTTTTACCATTTTCTGACATTTTACAGACTAAACAATATTAACCGAGGAAGTAAATGACAAAAAAAAACATATTTTTGCTATTAAACAGTGAAAAGTGTTTGCTCTAAATGTTAAAATTAAAGTTTTAGATGATTAAAATGATTTTCTTTACTCTTATTGATGGACTCATGCACGGTAATGGTTCGTTTTAGTGAAATCGTGCAGCGCTGCCATGTGAGTTTATATCAGTCGTCAACAGATCTGATTGTTCACGAAGAACAGTTCTGATATAAAAAGATCAAGTATCATAGCACTCATTGACGATTGAAAGCTCAACTTTCTACCTCCCACTCTGGATTTCGTCCTCGCGTCCTCGTTTGGTGACACCGGTGTGAAGAAAAGAGGACGAGTGCCGCATTTGAGAGTGTTAACGCGACTCCTTCTGCCTTTGTGTTCCTGCAGCCCAGATTGAAGTTATCCCCTGCAAGATCTGTGGTGATAAATCCTCTGGAGTCCATTATGGAGTCATCACCTGTGAGGGCTGCAAGGTGAGACACAACACACACATAAATATAGAACATAAAGCTGCTCTTACATCTGGTATATCTGTTCATTCTGAAGCTACAGCCGGCAGCCTTTTAGTTTAGATTTGCATCAAGGCTGCAAATGCACAGATGTTTGTTTAATCCTCTAAACCCTAAAATGTTCTATTTTTATCATTTATCAGGCAAAGACTCCAAATACAGAAAGAATCGTCAGAATTTTTACTTTCATGGATGTATAATATGCAACATGGGGAATGAAAATAACCACATCTTCGCTCACGGTTGTGATAGGTCTTATTTTGAAGTTTGCACAAGAGTCTGTAAAAAAAGAAGTTATAATGAGAAGGCACAATTCACTCAGCTGTGACCGACAAATTTGTGACTCTTCGGCCGAACTGCAGGCTGTGTTTTCACTGAGCAGAAAGAATGTGAGAAGAGAGACTGAGAAGAAAATCAGATATACTGGATTAGTAATAGAAATGCAGAATGGCTCAAAAACAGTGTACAGAGCAGCAAGTTGTTGGAAATACGTTCAGCATGGTGAAGCATCCTTCTACAGCTTCCTCCCACAGTGAGGAAAATGTGACAGGATCAAAACCACAGCTAGAAACTGATCGATTTCTGAAGGTTAATGGGGTTTTTATTTAAATGTTTTTAAAAAAAATACACATTGTGATGTTATGATTAGACAGGTACACGGCCAGAATGAGATTTGTTGAAGTCATTTAAATTAGTCACATGAGAACACTGAAAGTTTCTGTTTCAGCCGTACCACTCAGTACATATTTTGGTCATTAACTTTAAAGAAACTTCAAATAAAATACCCAAAATGTTCCGTGTTTATGTGTAAACATTTGATTTCTCTGGTACTTCCTGTTCACACCTTGTGCTTGTTCCATCTCTATGAAACGCCTCCCTCAGGGGTTTTTCCGGCGCAGCCAGTTGCCGACGGTCTCGTACTCCTGCTCCAGACAGAGCAACTGCCAGATCGACCGGGCGAGCCGCAACCGCTGCCAACACTGCCGCCTGCAGAAGTGCTTGGCTCAGGGCATGAGCAGAGACGGTGGGACCCGGACATACCTGCACCGACTGACAAAGCTGCTTTACTCTACGTTCTTTTGCTCATTTCTATGTTTATTTTTAATCCTTTCCAGCGGTGAAGTTTGGTCGCATGTCCAAGCGTCAGCGGGACTCTCTGATCGCGGAGGTGGAGAGGCACCGACAGCAGCAGCAGCAGCAGCAGCTGCAGGGAGACACCCAGTCGGTGCTGTCCTTCCCCACCAAGACCCGGCAGGACCGCTCCCCTCAGCTCCTCCAGCCCATGGCCTCGGCCTACGCCTACGCTGGGGACGCTGAGCTGCTGCCCTACGCTGCCGAAGTTCACCCCTACCTGGTCTGCTCCCCCAGCGAGTCGCAGGTGTCCGGGATGATCTACCGAAGCTCCGGTGTCTCCCCCACCTCCAGGTCCCAGGGCAGGGGGGACAACGGTGGACATGGGGACATCAGAGGTGAGGCACACTCATCATCCTCTGCTTGTAGGGAATCATGATCTTTATTTAGAGAACAAAGTGGCATCAAAATGAAACAGACAAGTCATTAAATAACATGTTAATTTTAAAGACAGACACAGTGGGAGCAGGTTTAAAGAGACTTAAACATACCAGGAGTCACTCCAAAGACATGAAGCATACTGGGAGACAGTTTAAAGAGACTGAAACATACTGGGAACCAGTTTAAAGACACTAAAACACACTGGGAGTCATTTTAAAAAGGCTGAAACTAACTGGGAGCCACTTCAGAGACATGAAGCATACTGGGAGCCAGTTTATGGATGCTGAAACATTCTAAAAAAAACAGTTTGAAGAGACTAAAGTATACTGGGAGCCAGTAACACTGAGATACTGTACTGAAATATACTAATACTGTTGCAGTAATCCAGGCACAATGAGATAAAAGTTTTTAAAACAGTTCCTGAGTCTTTAACAGTTGAGATCATATTTTTGAAATATTTCAAGGGCGATAAAAGCATGAGTGTACAGGCTTTTTGCTTTGCTGCTCGAAACATCAACTATTTTCTAACCAGATGCGGAGAATCTTTGAGTTAAAGTGATTTTGATGAAATTTTAGGTTGAGATTTGATAAAAGTTCAAGCACTGTTGAAAAGTTGAAAATGTGACATTTTATTGTCTAGTTTTGGGAGAATCTAACAGGCAGGTACAGCTACATGTCATCTGCATAAAAAAATAAACAAAAGATGCAATGTTTTATTAATAATGTGTCCAAGCAGGAGGCATGTATAGAGGAAATTAAAGTGGCTCTAAAATCGACCCCTGTGGCACACCATGGTAAACTCAGTGAGGAGACATGATTGTTCCCAGAGCCTCGTATTTGACAGATTTGCAGCCAGATATCTGCTCCAGACTGGATCTTGTTGTTTGTCCTTATTCCCTATTTGTCTTTCTTCTTCGCACTAGGATTTGACTCCAGACAGCCGACCCACGATCTGATGGCGATCCATCCCTACAACCCTCTCGAGGATCCCTACAGCCTCTATCCTCACTCTCTGCGAAACATAGGTGAGCAAACTGCACTGCGAGGTAAAAAAAAATTAACAAGGATTTATGTTTATATTCCTAATGTTTTTCAGTTTTCTCCACAGACGAGCTGTGTGCCAGCATCGTACGCTCCCACAGAGAAACCAGCCAGTACCGAGTGGAGGAGCTACAGGCCCTCAGATGGAAACTGTTCAGCCGAGAAGAGATCCAGGCCTACCAGAGCAAAGTAACCAGACCTCTGCTTCCTCCTCTTTTTTTGTTTCTCAGGCTTCCTCTCGCATGCCACCACACCGAGACAAGTCTCAAAACAAAACATGTCATTTCACATGGCTACTTTTGTTTGATGAATCAAACAGAAAACTGAGAAAACTTGGTTGTTCAATTTCCCCCTCCTCTTCTCTCTTTGATCACCAGTGTGATCAAAGGGAGAAGAGGAGGATAAATAAAGCGATAACACACTGAAACCTCAACAACACAGTGAATGGTTTGGACAGGGAGGATCAGTTTGTGTGGGATGACTGAGATGTTTCTGCTCTTTTTGGTCTATTGTAGCGTTACAGTGCACAGCAGTAGTGAGTATTATGTCAGTAAATGTCAGATGATTCAAAATTTTTGTCACCTCACGATAAGTGCGTCACTGCTAAGTTGAACTGCAGAGTATCTGCTCCAATGTCACAATACAGTCATTCAGATTTACTATATTAAAATTACAGGCCCCTCAGCAGGAAGTCAATGCAGTGAAAGTCAGTCTATTGTATAATACAGTATATTACTGACTTGTTTTCTCCAGTCTCCTCCTGCTGTTTGCTGGAGAAGTTGTGTTGCTCTGCTGTTCTCTTTAAAGTACCCTGAAGTGTTTTACTGGATTCAAGTCAGACCGCATACTGTTCCGGCATTTAGTTTTCCTTTTGTAGGAGTGATGTTGTTCTCTGGATGGTTCTCCTGCTGGAATATTCCTCTTCTTCCAGCTTCTGCAGACTGGGAGTCATCTGGTCAGCCAGTATTCTGGTTTATCCTCAGACATTCATCTATAAATGTCATCAACACCTTCTGCCCTCATGCAGCCCCATATCATGATGCTGCCACCTCCGTACTTCACTGTCAGGACCATGCATCCACTGTGGTGGTCCTGGTCAGGTTCACACCAAACATGCTGGACTGAAGTGCAAACAAGGGGGTTTTCTTGTCCTCTGTCCATAGAAGTTCTGAAGTGACACAAACTCTGGTTTCCATTGATAACCCCTGTGCCAAGTCTGGAGCAGCTGCCTTTGTCTGTTTTTCACAGCTGGATTGTGAAAGTAGTTGACTGTCTGTGGAGTCATTTTAGGAGGACGACCACTGCAGCCCTGATCAGTGCTACTGTGGCTCCTTCTAGACCTCCTGATTACTGCTGGTTCACTGGTTTCGAATTGAGCTTCCTGGATCCTTTTACAAGTTTTGCAATCAAAATTTGAAGTTCCTCTGTTGAAGTCTCTTCTATGTGGAGCCATGATGCAGACATGCAGATAGAAACAGTTCACAGGTCCAAAACTGAGAAAGTTCTGGTGTTCGTTAGTTAGACAAACATCAGTTTCAGTGACGTATTCCCTTTGTCACATTAAATTTTTGCTTTGGGGCCTGAATTTTCAATAAGACGAGATATTATGTGATTTAAAAATGATGCAGTTACTGAGCAGTGATACAGTTTTGATTGTTGACATTTCAGTGATCCTGCATGGGCGTACTCACTGCTGTTGCATATTGTATACATTGCAAAAGGAGATCTGTTGTGAGAGACGGCCTATAATCTTATTCTTCTTGTCCCTCTTGTTGGCAGTCAGTGGATGAGATGTGGCAGCACTGTGCCATCAGACTGACCGAGGCCGTGCAGTACGTGGTGGAGTTTGCGAAACACATCCCGGGTTTCCGAATGCTCAGCCAGAACGACCAGATCGCACTCCTAAAGACTGGTAACATTCCCTTCACTTTGAAAAGTTAGCTGTATCCACTACTGAAAACACGTGCTTTTCCAGTTCTAAAGGGTTTTTTTTGGTCATTTCTCACCTGTTCAGGCTCCATGGAGGTGGTTCTGGTCAGGATGAGTCGCTTCTTCAACACGGAGAACAACACCGTGTTCTTTGACGGAAAGTTTGCCGGAACTGAAGTCTTTAAGTCTTTGGGTGAGTGTTCAAGCAAAGGAGTGAAACCATTTGTGAATAACCTCAGTGCACATTTGAGACGACTTATCAGCAATCTGTGGTCTATTTTCTCGCAGCGTGCGGTGATTTAATCACGGCAGTGTTCGACTTCGCTCATGGCATGTGCGCTCTGAAGCTCACCGAGCAGCAGATCGCTCTGTTCAGCGCCCTGGTGCTGATCAACGCAGGTACGATCAAGTCAAGCTGCATCTCAGTCGGTTTAGTCCTCAGTTTTGAAACATTACTAAAAGTTTAAATTCAGTTGAGGATGAAAATTATTGTTAGTTGCAGCTCTAGTTACAATATAATATTATCATTATAGGGTGGAAGGAGGCAGAGGTGTGTTTACTGCAGTTTTGTCTTGGCTTTATTGTGTTTTTTTTTTGCAAGTGATTATAATAAGGGATTAAAACTAAACTACACATCATCAAAATGCCAAATATTTTAATAATTGGTTGATCAGTTTAAGTTTTTTTTTTTTTTTTTTTAAATTAAAGAAAAGAAAGTCTGAATTCTCTGATTTCTGCATCTTAATGTGAATATTTTCTGGTTTCTTTCCTCTTCTGTAACTATAAATTGAATATATGTGGAAAAAAAAACAAGACTGATTAACATTTTACTAAACAACTTAATGATAAATTGATTATTTCAACAAAAAAGAAAAAAATAATAATTCTGATTGCAGCTTATTAAATGTGAAAATTTTTTGTAAATGTAACTGAATATCTTTGGACGAGACATCTGGGAAACAAAGCCCAAGATGAGACGCAAAAACAATGAACTAAATGGCTAATTAATTAATCCAGAATATACCCGACAGCTTACTGAACAAAACAAATCTTTTTATTGTGTGCAGACCGTCCATGTCTGGAGGACAAAGGCAGAGTTCAACGAGTGCAGAGGAGCGTGGAGTTCGGACTCACGCACATTCTACACCGAGACAACCAGGAAAGCCTGATGCACAAGGTACGCGTCGCCTCCTTGTCCTTACTTCCATGAAACCTCTCAGATGTTTTCCTCGTCTGACTGTGCGTGTCGTCCGTCCCGCAGCTCTACCAGAGGGTGGCGGTGTTGCGCTCGCTGTGCAGCCTGCACATGGAGAAGCTGCGCTGGTTCAGCCAGAGATACCCGCTCACCGCCCACTCGCTGTTCCCTCCGCTCTACAAGGAGCTGTTCGCGTCCGAGGCCGAGCTGCTGCCGGGGAACAACCACTGATGGATCAACCACACATGCATAGACACGTGTTATTTTACTTCCTGACAGAATCTATTTTTCTAATAATGAAATTAAGCTCAGTAATCGTAGCGTGTTCAATATGACATGACGTACAGCAGAGCTTTCTTTTTTTTTTTTTTTTTTTGGTAGATCATGTCAAAGATAAATTTGAATATTTTGATAGTTTTGATTATTCCATGGAAACATTTTGATGGAGAGTTTTAAGTGAGGTGCAGGATTCTTTCTCTCTCAGGATGTTGTGATTCTGTCCAGTTGTAGTTTCTGTGTGTCAGACGTACAGACTCCAAGAGGTGCGACTCAAAAATCTCTCTCTAAAGTAGAAAACACACAAACTCCTACAGAGTTCAGATGTGACTTTATAAAAAACTACATAGCTTGTTTGTGGCTCGACTCTTTGTGGCCATCAGTTTGAATTCACAGTCGAGTCAAAGAGAACAAATGAAAAACTAAAATACAAAAGGTCATATTATATGTAAACATCGTAAAACACAAGGAAAGACAGTAAAATGTGCAAGAAGACACTTAGAGTTCCATCAACACACTTCATCTGAGCCACACGTCATTTACAACAATGCAAACTATGATTTATAGTGTTGAATTTTTCGACCAGTAGGTTTCTCCTGACTGGGAATGACATAAACAAGTGACATGATAGTAGGACATTGTGTTTGAAATGTTAATAATCAGTTTGAGCTATTTTTATGTTTGTTTAGGGTTTGTTTTGGGGTTTTTTAAAAAACATTTTTCCTCAGTTGTTCTAGTGTCTAACAGTGTTTCTGGGAGTTGGTTCCTCCAAGTGTCCATCTGCAGCTCTTGGAGCTTGAAGGCTTCCTCTCCATCACTCTGCTCTTCAGTTCCTCCACAGGTTCTGGATGGATTCAGGTCTGGACTCTGACTGGGCCGCTCCAACATCTCCTCATTGTTTCCTCTTCAGTGTTTCTTCACCACTTTGGCTGCATGTTTCACATCACTGTCTTGTTGAAGCTCCAATGCTGCCCAAGGAGCAGTGTTCCTGCAGACCTCCTGATGTTCTCCTCTGTTCTCATGAAGCCGTTTCCTCTGACCAGGCTGTCTGGTCCGTCGGCTCAACAACAGCCCCAAAGCATCAC